AAAAACACTAAAGCTAAGAGAAAGAGGGAGTTAGTGAGTTACCCGTCTTCGCTGAGGACGCCATGAGGGAATCTAGGCAGAGGAGAAGCCAAGCTAAAGCTGTAGAGCTTGTTGCGGTCAACGAAGCTGTGTTCGCAGAGACCAATGACTGAGTTAACTCGGAGTTGAATCGTCAAGAGAAGATTTACGACGAGAAGAAGCAATCTCCGAGGTTCATTTCGCATTACCATTTTTTCTTCCTTAAATTAGAGAAGAGTTTTGTCTGATTTTCTCTCAATTCAGTTGTTTTATCGTCGATTGAAGCAGAGCTGGACCGAGGGAGACAAACAAGGAACTAGCCTCTTCATTAAGAGGAAATTTAAACTTTAAGTTAATTGCTTAATTTCATCACAATTTTAGCTTAATTGTAATTGACCCCTTTTACTTTTGAGAATTGTATTTTAAGTGGTAGAGCGCTGACCGCGGGCCCACCGCCTGCCACACGTCGTCAGCCTACTCCATTTCAACCCGGCTCGCTCGTTGTGTATTTAGAAACGACAGTGTTTTGCAAGTTTTATTGGAGCACTTCCTTTTGCCCCAACATCAGGAAGTTCGTTACCGAGAAATTCAAAGCGGCGGCAAGTTAAACTACGAAGCCTCTATATGGACTCACCCAATCCAAGCGGCGCGTTAACCGACACGCGCTTTTCCGACCTGAAACCTTCTCTCTCCGAGCCGGTTATTGAAGCCTTGTCTCAATCCGGCTTTACATTCTGCACCCCAGTCCAAGCCGCCACAATCCCGCTGCTATGTAGCTTCAAGGACGTAGCAGTCGACGCCGCCACCGGCTCCGGAAAAACCCTCGCTTTCCTTATCCCTGTCGTAGAGATTCTGCGTCGGTCCTCCACCTCTCCTCCCAAACGTCACCAGGTTCTTTTTTCCTTTCCTTTTATTAAAAAAAAAGTTCTTACTTTTGTGCTGCTTTGTTGTTCATCTCTATATTATTTTCTCCTCTGTTTGGATGCTGAGAAAAACACAGGAAAAGTAGAAGAACAGTAATGGAAAGTTTCTCTTTTCTTTTGTCAGCTTTGAAAAGATGAAACAATTGCTTCTATATAGATACTTAAGTTTAACTTCTTTAAAGGCTAGTTATGTAATTATTAAGCTTTGAATTGTCCGCAGGTGATGGGGATAATTATATCTCCTACAAGGGAGCTTTCGTCGCAAATCTATAACGTAGGACAGCCTCTCACTTCGACCTTGTCTAATGTAAAGTCTATGCTTCTTGTTGGAGGTGTTGAGGTGAAAGCAGACGTGAAAAAAATCGAGGAGGAAGGAGCAAATTTATTGATTGGAACTCCGGGTAGACTATATGACATAATGGACCGGATGGATGTCTTGGATTTTCGTAACCTCGAGGTAGTTATGGAAATTGTTGTTGTCTATTATCTTGTATGGAAAATAGATGTTTTTTTGATTGAAAAAGTGTTTAATCGTCATTTCAATGCTATTGATAGTTTAATTAATCTTCACTATTTAGTGTCAAAGACAAATTAAAAGAAATGTCTTCATATGTTATGATCAAATAGTAATCACATAGATTGGTAGAAAGTCAATCACATGCATGTAATAACTTGATTTTTGGTAGTAACTAGCGAGACCGCTGTGTATGATGCTATTGTTTTCATGAACATACAATCTATTGAATTATCTGTTGCCCCATTTGGTTGGTACAGATTTTGATTTTAGATGAGGCTGATAGGCTTCTGGATATGGGATTCCAGAAGCAGATAAATTTTATTATATCTTGCTTGCCAAAGCTCCGGAGAACTGGTCTTTTTTCCGCTACTCAAACAGAGGCAGTTGAAGAGCTATCTAAAGCAGGACTGAGGAATCCAGTGAGGGTTGAAGTTAAAGCTGAGACGAAGTCACTGAATAATTCAGCTTCATCCGAGCAATTAGCCTCATCAAAAACACCTTCAAGCCTTCACCTTGAGGTATATTATACTTCGATCTATTTCAATTTACACATAAAATTTTGTTCTTTAATTGCCTTTCTCCTTTTAAAATTAGAACAACCATCTCATGTGCAGCTTTGTCTTCTTTCCTTATACCTGTTAAGGGTGGAGGTGAATAAAAGATAACAGATTCAATATTTGGCTTTGCTGTCATGTCATTAGACATTATCCCTTATTCACCACTTGTATAGCATGTTGTCATGTTCTAAGAGCAATTTGCTTTAATCAGTATGGATTTATCTGAATTTTCATTTATTTATCAGTTATTTTTTTATTATGCAGTATTTGGAATGTGAAGCAGATAAGAAACCATCACAGCTTGTTGATCTCCTCATAAAGAACAAATCTAAAAAAATTATAATGTAAGTTATACGCGGAGAATATTCTCTAAGTCTGGTTAATTCAATTCCAGTTTACCGAAAAGACAATGAGTTATTGTTGGTTATTAAATGATTTCATTACTTATGCAGATATTTCATGACTTGTGCTTGTGTTGACTATTGGGGAGTTGTTCTTCCACGTCTTACTGCTTTGAAGGGTTTCTCTTTAATCTCTCTACATGGAAAGATGAAGCAGGTAAAATTACAGATATCAGTATAGATGGTCAGTTAATAAGTTTGGAAATTCATGAATTGATTGTCGGGTGTTCTGATGTATTTATTCTTTTGCCGCTCTATAGACTGCAAGGGAGAAAGCATTGGCTGCATTTACCTCTCTTTCAAGTGGCATTCTTCTATGTACTGATGTTGCAGCACGTGGGCTTGACATTCCTGGTGTTGATTGTATAGTGCAGGTAGCTGAATAACCACAAGCCATTTAATTTTTACTAATAAATAACTATTTAGAAATTTCCATTGGTGAAGGTTAATAGCTTTAACTTGTTGCTCCGGTTTCTGAAAGGTGATTGATGACTATGGTTTATGTGCTCGGTTCTTTTGCAGTATGATCCCCCTCAAGATCCAAATGTCTTCATTCACAGAGTTGGTCGAACTGCTCGTTTGGGTAGACAAGGAAGTGCCATTGTTTTCCTTTTACCTAAGGTGCAGTTCTTTCTTCTATGTTTATGTGTTAGCTAATTCCCTGTTTAATCAAGTGTTTTTACAGTTTTACTTTCTGATTAGGATTTTTATGTTCTCTCCTTTACTAATTTCCACCATTTGTAATAAAGTTGATCAATTTTGTTGGACTTTTGCAGGAGGAAGCTTATGTAGAATTTTTGCGCATAAGAAGGGTTCCTCTTCAAGAGAGGAAATGCATTGATGATGCTTCTGATGTTGTTCCTCAGGTAAACAAAATTTGCATTATACATTCTTGCCTCCTATACCAAATTGTTCTTTCTTCATTAGTTTTCTTTTCTTAAACTTGTTTCAGATACGGTCTGCCGCAATGAAAGACCGTGATGTCATGGAGAAAGGGCTTAGAGCATTTGTTTCTTATATCCGTGCATACAAAGAGCATCACTGCTCTTACATTTTCAGGTTCTAACTTTTCTTTGCCTTTTTAATTAGTTGCTGCTTGTCTTTCACCTTTTTGTCTATATGTATTTTTGTTGTCTGACAGATGGAAAGAACTTGAAATTGGAAAGTTGGGCATGGGATATGGTCTATTGCAGCTCCCTTCTATGCCTGAGGTAAAGCACCATTTGCTATCCGCTGAGGGTTTCACTCCAGTTGAGAACGTCAATATGGATGATATCAAGTATAAGTAAGTAGAAGCTACAAGTATGCCTTGTTAAATAGAAACTTAATTGTTTGACTGGACATATAAAGTGAATGAAATTTCTTAAGTGTCTTGACTTCATTAGCAGATCTATTTTTGGTTAGAAGTTCCAAAAAATTGGTCATGTTAGAACTCATTCAGCTGTTAACTTTACTGCCTGTGGCCTTCAGAGTCTTACCTTTTATCTTCACCAATTGTTTGCCCATCTAAAGTCTATCCGACCTATTCTGGTTGCTAATGATGTTGATTATTTAGGGACAAATCTCGTGAGAAACAGAGGAAGAAAAATTTGCAAGCAAAGAAAGAACGAGAGCAACAAGAATCAAAACCCCAGAAGCCCAAAAAAGACTCAAATGCTGCAGCCCCTGTGATGAAGAAGAAAACAGCCAAACAGAGACGTGCTGCCCAAACTATTGAAGATGAAGAGGAATTGACCAGGGAATACCGTCTACTGAAGAAACTGAAAAAAGGGGCTATTGATGAGAGCGAATTTGCCAAGTTGACAGGAACTGAAGATCTACTATGAAGAATGTGATTTGCACATTTTGACGTTGGCCCGATATAGGCGGATGAATGTTATAACCCAATCTTCAGAAAGAGTTTGAGACGTATTGACGGTTTCCTTACGAGGGTAACAGAGAGAGCTCTGTTCGAGACTGACTAGTAAGTTTTAGGATTGAAGATTTCATTATTCATGTAATTGGTTTTGTTCAATCAGTGATCAATCTGTTGTAAGAAAGGGGCAGCAACCCAAAACAGAATATCTGTATACTACTTGGAATTTTAGTGTGTTAGTTCTTCAAAGAAATAAGAAAATTTACCTTACCAAGTTACTGCTCCGCCGTGCGTAAAAGGTTATCCAAGTCAAGTTTTTTTTAAGTCTTCTTCCAGGCGGATGCCATTAACATCACTGTCAAGCTGTCAGACATTATCCGAAGACCTTAACGACTAGAAATTTACAAATGAGAAAATTATTAAATTCGGACAAGGGCAATTGTTGCAGCGGAGAACATGCTGAACTTGGAGAATTGACATAAAATTTAATTTTCAATGAAGACAAAGCTGAACTTGTCCAAACAAACATCAGTCAGATGGGCTAAAAAAGCCCATGTTCGTACTGTAAAAAAAGAGAAGGAAAATCCGAAATGAACAAACAAAGTTACCATTTTTCACATGTCTGCAGGTACGGGAAGTAAACTGTTTTCACATTTAAAGAGTCACTTTTCCCACCAAGGTTTTTACTGACAGAAATCCGAAGACTTAAGCTACTCTTCGCACCTTCGAGGAAGATTCCAAACTTCAGGTGTCAGATGCCTCTAAAATCAATGCTCCTCTTTGTACTAAGGTTTCTCCACCCCTTTATTACCCGCAAAACTCTCAAAGCTCTCCGCAACTTCGTCAACTCAATCCTCAGAAACGTCAAAACACTCCTCAAGAAGATGTCCGTCGACCAATCCGAGGATCAGAAACTCGACCCAACACCACCACCCTTTGATCCATCGAAGCCGTCCATTCCCATTTCTTACCCGATCAAGACCCTCGAAGACCTTGACTCTGGCTCTTACTTCACTTCTTTTCACTACCCTTTTAACAAATCCAGTGTTCCTCCCCCACCCAATTCAGGTTTGGCTCAAAGGCCCAGGATTTTGGTCTGCCATGACATGCAAGGTGGTTACCAGGATGATAAGTGGGTCCAGGGTGGCGATAATGCCGGTGCTTATGCCATCTGGCACTGGTATTTGATCGATGTTTTTGTTTATTTTTCTCATTACTTGGTCACCTTGCCTCCTCCTTGTTGGACCAATACTGCTCATAGGCATGGAGTTAAGGTAAGTTTTCTAATTGAAAAGCTGAGAATGATGATTTATTTGATTGAAAAGTGTTTACTTTGGTGAAATTCAAGTAGAACAATGGTCGTTTCAGCTAACTGAAGTGATAAAGCCAGGATGCTTTTTGAAATTATGATTATTTATAGATATATTGATCTTATGCTTATATCATTTAAGTAGAGAACTAGGTTAATGTTTTCAAGATGAACACAATCTTTTCTTCCTGCTAAATCAAGAAATGACCTCTGTTCCTTTTCTATTGTACAAGGGGTATCATGGTAATCCAAAGTGTGTGAAAGTCTGTTTCATTTTCTTTGGATTTTGGTGTCTTAGAGACTAAAGGAAGCTTTGTATATGTTTTTTCGTCTGTGGCTGTGGAATCTAAGGTATTAGGGACATTCATCACAGAATCAGCTGAAGGGAAAGCTATTTGCCAGAAACTGCTCTCGACGAAGGAGTCTGCTCAGAAGTATGCCGAGCGTTTGGCAAAGCTCGCTGTTGCTTTGGGCTTTGATGGATGGCTGGTAATATGCCATTACTGAAATATCCAGCTCAGCACTTACACACATACACAATGTTGCATAAAAACATGTTGAATTTTTTGGACAAGAATATCAATAAATGTTCTTCCTTCTGTCACTATAACCTGTAAAAGTTCCATATATCGGCACTCCATTTTCCATAATTGACCTATGATTGCTTACTTGCAGCTCAATATGGAGGTTGAACTGGAAGTCGGGCAAATCCCTAATCTGAAAGAATTTGTTAGTCATTTAACTCAGACTATGCACTCCTCACTTCGTGGATCTTTGGTTATATGGTTTGTAACAGAAGAAGCCACACTTGTATTATGCAATAAATTGAAGCATACTAGAGTTTCTTCTGATTAATCTTGTTGTTACACAGGTATGATAGTGTTACAGTTGATGGAGATCTTAGCTGGCAAAATCAACTGAATGAAAAGAATAAACCTTTCTTTGATATTTGTGATGGAATCTTTGTGAACTATACATGGATGGTATTGCCTTCAATTTTATCATCCATCTCAAGCCTAATTTCATCTTCTGTTGCACATAAAAACTTGTGTACTGTGCAGGAGGACTATCCAAAGCTTTCAGCAACAGCCGCTGGTGACAGAAAGTTTGATGTCTACATGGGGATAGATGTATTTGGAAGGGGCACGTATGGTGGTGGGCAATGGACTGTACGTTTCGTACTAATCTTATGATGATGTTTCTGTGATAGAGATATATGTTTAATTTGGCTTTATAGGTTGGTTTCAAAGGTCGATGTGGAGTTTAACAGTGTGGAAGTTATCTCAATGCTTTGATCTCTATTCTTTTTCTTGAGATACAGGATAAGTAATAAAGTTCTGATCTAGATTACTAGATATTCTACTCTACATAAGGAACTAAAGTTTGTTTCGTTTTCTTTGTAGTATTTATTGTTGTCTTTTGAATTTTGATGATATCTGATCTCGTAATGATATTGATCTCATATCAACCTTTGAAAATCTACATGTTCACTACAATCCCTCACGATTGGGGGAATTCACTTTAAATAAAACTGAGAGCATTGTGGTGTTATAAGAATCCCCAGAGTACATGTTTGATTAGGGTAATATCTTTGGAAATTGAAAGCTGACAATGTTGACCATTATGCTTTGGTTTTGACTGATTGAAACTGTTGCAATTCTTTACATAACAGACAAATGCTGCACTTGATGTGATAAAGAAGGATGATGTCTCAGCTGCCATATTTGCTCCTGGATGGGTTTATGAAACAAAACAAGCCCCTGATTTTCAGACTGCTCAAAATCGGTAATGCACTTGTCTTTTCTTTGATTAGTGTTGTTGTAGAGTGCTTGTTTATTTTGGTTAAGTAACTCTTCCCTTTCATGATGCTTTGATCCTATATGTTTTTATTTCAAGACTTTCTTGTTGATTTTCTGCTCCATGCATGAAATCAATGTAAACCTTTTCAATGAGTTTCACCACAAATACTTTGGCTTTTGCAGTTGGTGGGATCTTGTCGAGAAATCTTGGGGAATTGTGCAACATTATCCTAAAGAATTACCATTTTTTTCAAATTTTGATCAGGTTGCAATTATGTCAAATTCTTTGTTCAATTCTTTAAGTGTCATTCAAAATTAGAGGGCATGTAAAGCTTGCTGTAATAACCATATTATTAACTAACGGAATTCCTCAGGCACATATGCATCTATTGTCTACATGTTGACTGCCTTTGATATTGTTCAGGGCCATGGCTATCATGTTTCAATCGAGGGGGCACAAGTATTAAGCAGTCAATGGAATAATATTTCTTCACAAACCTTTCAGGTAGGGACTACATGGATATAGTTTGCTTCTCTGATGTGTCAATTTTACCGTAGTTGCATATTTCTGAAGAAAAGGTATATGCTTCTATGTTGTTTTACCTTCTTGTTTCAGCCTTTCCTTGAGTATGCTGATGATCCTACTTCGAACGCTATTGAAGTCCATGTTGAGTAAGTTTTAATGAGTTGTTCTACTTGTCATGATTCAGTCATATATATAATGTTTCACAGGTCTAAGAACTGGTTGATAAATGATAGTTTTAAGGAAGCATCGTTCAGCGGAGGAGGAAACCTCACATTTAAAGGAACTCTTGGAGCCAAAGCCTCCGTCTCATCAAGACTCTTTGTAGGAGAGCTTCTTATGGGTGACTTGCCTGTCCACTTCACATATTCTGTAAGCTATCTCGAAGAAGTGTTTTCCATTGCAACCATCTCTTTCCAAAATATAATATTGTTGAGTCAGGGCGGGACATAGAAATCAAATCCTTAGACATTTTGCACATTCACTAGAATGTGACTGCTAACAATAGCATGTGATATGTTCCGATCTATGTTTCTTTCGATATTAGCTGGGTTAACTTGAATGCCAAAACTTGCTGCAGGTAAAATCAGAAGGTAACTCTCAGTTGGGCCTTTCTCTTGAATTCTTTTCTGAAATGAAAGGAAAAAAGAAGTTGCTTCTTGCGTCTGGGGGAACGAACCAATTTTCAAGCAAATTCAGTGAAGTGATTGTGCCACATCAACTGAGAAAACCAGACATGGCTTCAGGATGGGTTATACAAGAGAGTAGCATTGCAATGAATGGATACACATTAACAGAAATTCATGCAGTATGCTACAGGAAACAGCCTGAAAGATCAGAATCTACATCTAATACCCAGGATCCAGCAGAATATTTTGCCGTGCTTGGACATATTAGAATTTCAACTTCTAACCAGAGTACAAAATTTCCCCCATCTACTTTCTGGATTGTTGAGGGTCAAGATGTTGAATGGGGAGGTTCTCAAGGTTCCAAAACCCTTAGTCTTAGGATCAGCTGGAAATTGAAAGATGGACAGAATTCTCTTTTCCCTAGGTACAATATCTATGTTGAGAAACTAACAAAACAATCAGTCCGAACTCTGGGAGAAAAACTAGGAGGCGTACAGGAGTATGTAGGAGTAGCACAAGTAGAAGCCTTCTACGTATCTGACCTCGTCATCCCTTCCGGGACTTCTGGCCTCAAATTTATTATTCAAGTATGTGGTGCTGATGGTGCTACCCAAAAGCTTGATGAGGCCCCATATTTTCAACTCAATGTGGAAGGTCGGTGAACATATATCACTTTTCCTTTATTTTCCCTTTGAAATTGGTCCTTGGCAAGAACAACATTGCTAGCTTGTAAACGAAAGCCATTGTATCCTGACAATAAACTGGAAATAAACTCTCTAATAAATTTGAACCTTCAGTACAATTTACTTAGCACAGATGTTTTTCTGGTGATTAAGCTGCTACTACATCACATTTATTAGGCTGTTTGGGCAGTTTGCTTCCATTACAAGGATCTTGTGATATTGCCTGTAATTACTTTCCATCCATGGCTGTATCTAGCTAAATTCAGACCTTTTTGTTCATTAACCCATCTAAATAATGAAAACATAACAGCAGAAAAGAAAACGGTCACGGAAGAAAGAATGGAGCACAGCTACATGCTAGCCCAAATGTTATCTCAGTTAAGCCCAGCTTTTGAACCTCTGGGCCAAACCCAATGTCAAGGACGTTGAGCCCAGATTTAAAAATAATGGGCCAACCTTCCTCTATCTATTTAAAATAGTAAGCTTTGCCAAATTTGATAAAAGAGATTGCATTGCACCCACAAAATGGTCCATTACACATAGTAGAAGTTTCTCATATTAAGAAATAGGGTGAAATACACCAACACCTTAATATTTTTAATTTTTAATTATAATTAAATGAAATCAATTAATTTTTAAAGTAAATATTTTATTCCAAAAAAATATTTACACTAGACATATACATGATCCTATCATTAATTAATTGTCAATGTTTCTTTTAATTTAGTAACATAATAATATTTTTAAAATAATTTTATTTTTTATTAATTTTAAAAATTATCACTATATAAATTGTAATTTTTTTATTTTTAAAAAAAAATTTACAAAATGAAAAATCTTTCCAACCACTCTCGACCAATGACACTCCCCAAGAAAGCAAGTGCTCTCTAAGATATTTTAAGTATTTTATGTTTAGATGTTTACATGTTCAGGTGAAATATTTGTTTTGAAAATTTGTAAATTCACATGTAATTGTGGTAAAAAGTTAAAAGATATTAGTGAATTTTATTTTAGAAATACTAAGAACATTAGCCCACATGATTTACTTACTAAATGTACCAACTAGCATTTCACTTTCCAAGAACTTTCCTAATCAAAGACTTAGATATTTTTAAGTGTTGAAAAAAAAGATTAACCATTCTTTACCTTATTTATTTATTTTTTTTCCATTTTTCCATTGTTTTCTTTCTGGCTTGTCAGATGGAACGGAGTAATGGTGAGTTTTTCATTAGTTATCAAATAATTGTGTGCACATTTACGCGTCATATTTTTTTAAAAATTGGCGGTGGGATTGCCCTTGAACGAATCTCCACCTCTAGAAACAAAGTTTGGAGGTCTACGGCTGCTTGTTCCTGCGGGTTTCCACTCTCCACGTCTTTTGACGGACACAGACTTACTGTGCACCAGCCAAGTTGATGGCTACTTGAATCAAATTTGTACAAAAAGTTTTCCATTTCCTCAATCATCACTTTTCTTCCATTGAAGACTAAGTATGAAGTTGTTCGAGATTTCATCAACTCTTCATTTTCTTGCCGCCCTAGCCCTGGTAGTCCTTCAAGTTGGTTCCCAAGATTTACCCCAAGACTTCTTAAACGCTCACAATGCTGCTCGTAAAGAGGTTGGTGTTCCGTCCATGACTTGGGACAACGTATTGGAGGCCTATGCACTGAATTACTCTCAAGGAAAGATTGACAATTGCCAGCTAGTGCTTGCAGTAGGCCCTTCGGGTCAGAATCTTGCTTGGGGCAACCGTGATCTCTCAGGAACTTATGCTGTCCAACTTTGGCTTGATGAGAAGGAGGATTATGACTTGGACTCTGGTGTTTGCGCTACAGGCAGGGTATGCGGTCATTATACTCAAGTAATTTGGATTAATTCAACTCAACTTGGTTGTGCTAAAGTTAGATGCAGAAATAATGGAACTTTTATTGCTTGTTACTATTACCCTCCTGGAAATGTTGCTGCTAAGCGTCCGACTGAAGGGATTGAATCTGTTATTGGAGTAGTCGCTCCGAGCCCTCAGATTCAGTCCCGTGCTCCAAGCCCTCAGAATCAGTCCCCCGATGTTGATCCTCCAAATGTAAGCAAAAACAGGACAGGGTTAGTGATAGGGTTGAGCATAGGGGCATCTGCGTTGATTTTTAGCCTATGTTTCACGACTTGGTTCATTTCAAGACGGAAAAGGAAGAGAGAAAACGAATTTGATGATCATGTTTTCGATATGTTCTTTGGCGATGAGTTGGGAAATGGAATGGGACCAAGGAGGTTTTCATTGAATGAACTGTCTAAAGTGACAAGTAACTTCAACGCTGAAAATAAGTTGGGAGAGGGAGGGTTTGGCTCAGTTTATAGAGGGTACCTGAGGCATTCGGATACCTACATCGCTGTTAAAAAGGTTTCAAGGGCATCTAAGCAAGGGATTAAGGAATACGCATCCGAAGTGAAGATAATCAGCCTATTAAGGCACAAGAATTTAGTGAAGCTCATCGGTTGGTGCCATGAAAGAGGGGAACTAATGCTTGTTTATGAGTTCATGGCCAATGGCAGCTTAGATTCCCATCTTTTCAAAGGAAAAAGCTTGTTGACATGGGAGGTGAGATATAGAATTGTGAAAGACCTGGCATCAGCATTGCTATATTTACATGAAGAAGGAGATCATTGCGTGCTACACAGGGACATCAAAACTAGCAACATCATGTTGGATTCTAGCTTCAATGCTAAACTTGGAGACTTCGGGTTAGCTAGGCTAGTTGATCATGCAAAAGGGTTGAAGAATACTCTTTTGGCAGGAACTGTGGGCTACATGGCTCCTGAGTGTCTATCTTCAGGGAAGGCCAGCAAGGAATCAGATGTCTACAGTTTTGGAGTTGTGGCACTGGAAATTGCAAGTGGTAGAAGGTCGATAGAACCCAAATTTGAGGAGTCTGAGGCTTTATTATTAGTACCCTGGGTGTGGGAATCATATGGAAATGAAAGGATTCTTGATGTAGCAGACAGGAAATTGGGTATGGCATTCGATTCTAAACAATTGGAATGCTTGGTGATGGTAGGATTATGGTGTGCCCATCCAAGCCACAATCTAAGACCGTCAATAAGGCAAGTCATTCAAGTTCTTAATTTCGAGGCACCATTGCCAAATCTTCCAGGTAGCATGCCTATTCCCAATTATAATGATGTATCTATTACTCCTGGAATTGGATCGAGCGAGCCAGTTATATCTAATATTACTATCACTATCCCACGTTAGTTTGATCGATCTGCTAGTTTTTGCAATCAAATTTACATCTCACAAACACTAAGAAAGTTTGTAGTTCAATTTCTTTTATTTGCAATGATATTGGTGTATAGATTGACTATTCCTTGTTCTCTTCTTGAAAAATTTGTCCTGCACAACAGACAAGGGCCCTTTGTGAGTCAGTCTTTTCGGTTAGCTTCCATTGACAGAGGCCACAAACAGGTTAAAAGCTTGAGCTTGGCTCAACTTGATCATGTTTTTAGAGCTCAAGCTCATTAGAAAAAGAATGGTCGAAGCTTGAACTTTCCCGGCCAGGAACATTCATGTTTAATTATTCACGATCTTTTTGGTCAGGGAACTGTTTTTTATGGCTTGAATCGTCATTAAAAGTAAGTTAATATTAATAGTAACAGAAGAGACAAAGAAGGACAAATAAGGAAATGAGTGAAACAAAAAAGGGTGCCGGACACTAGGCCAGACCAAGTGCTAAAACAGCTAGGCTTTAGCCTAGGCTTTCAATCGGCCGGCCTATAACAGCCAGCCTCTCGTCCTGGGCCAAGCTTAAACATTGCGGAGGTTGAAACTCTGGGCCAACCTCTCTCCATGTAATTAAAGGAAGTCCTAATTAAAGTCCAAAATCTGGGTCGACCTCCCTCTGTGGCAGCATCTGAGCCAGCCTCTAAACGATCATAACGCGAACCCAATAGCCAGTTTGGCTGGTTCCGACCTGCACGCATGCAATAAAGTCATGACAAAATCAACAGAAACATCTTATATACTAGGAATTCTTGGGTGAAGGAGATTATGGCATGGCAATTAATAGTCAATTTCTCCAAAGTTTCCTTCGAGTCCTTCTAGTTTTCAGAAAAATGCCATTTTGAGTGAAAAACAACCAGGACGGGAATACTTTCCTGGTTGTTTTTGTATTAGAAATTGCAAGACTCAGGCTGCAGCAGCTGCCAGCTATTGGCAGTTTGATCAATGGTAGTGGAAACACTGTCACACGAAAAGAAAAAAGCTTCTTTTGAGATTCTTACCTAAGCCAATGCCAGCTTAAATCAAAGTTGAGCTAAGTAATGAGTAGTGGGGCAGTTGCTCTTAGACTTTTACCACTGTGCTTGGGTAATATTTAATGCTTTTGTTGAGTGGGGCACGAGGTGAAAAGTCATTTTAAATTGCAAAATGCTGTAATCTGCTTTTCAAGATCCACGTAGATTAGCTATCAAGAGAGTTCACTGCTCAACCTTTATCTTCAGTTCCCATCTTCCAGTGCACTGACCTAGACATTCCTTGAGTTTGGTACTTTCCCAAGTCTCAAAATTCATTATTCTAGTTATGGTGCTGAAGGAGCTTGCCAGAAGCTAAATGATTCATCATTTTTCTTCAACTAGACCTGTTAATCATGGAAAGAAAATCCCAGTGATAGAATAATGATGATGCACATCATCTATACGACTACACTTAAATTCCAGGATTATGGGCTATCTACAGACACCTGTAACACAATAGAAAAAACTGTTGCAGAACCATGTAAAATGTGAAAGCTCTGTTTGTGATTAATTCTTACCTAAAACAACAAATCTCCTTTCTCACCCACCGACACACATCACCTAAAAATTCAAGCATGGTTTCCTTGAAGAAATGATCATTACCCTTCATAGTTAAAAGAAGTTCAATGCTGAGGCAAAGGTTTCCACGTTAAAAATCACACCAGAAATACTGTTGCTAGCTATTCCTCATCTTAATTTTGTCGTGGAAGTGGCACTGAGAAAACAATCTTACAACAATAACATTGTCAACTGTTTGGAAGTTTTTGTCACTTTATGTAGGCTCAGGCTGGCAGTCAATCAGGCCAACTAGGAAATTTAGAAGGTTTCCCTCATGTGTTTCTATAGGTTTCCAAATGAATCTTCCCCCTCTTCCTTGTTGTAGGCTACTAAAAAGTACAACAGCAAATATCTGATTTCACCATGGATGGAAGAATGAAGACTACCCTTTTTCCCCCCTTTTCCTGCCTCCCGAGGAAAAGAGAAAGATAGGTAAAACATGAGTAAACCTTAGACTGAAAATGGAGAGAGTAAACAGATATTGAAGTCAAACAAAAGAATACCACATCAGACTGAAAATGGTGAAACAGAATACCCTTCTGTGATTTAAGAGATAGCAGACAAAATTGGAAGTGAACAGAACCAAACATCATCAGCCAGAATTAGAGTCAAGAGGCAATTTTGTTTCCATCTTCCAACACTTTAAACTTGGAATTCAGTCAGGAGTGTACATGTTTGAAAGCCTGCTGCAATTTCCATAATCATTCAATCATTGCAATTTTTGAAACTGAGATGGATGGTCCAAAAAGAAAGTTACATCCACATATCTTTCACCGAAAAACAGGTTCATTTCAGGTTTATTGGAAAATGTTGTCTGCCTTTCCACCTGTGGTGTGATAGGTCAAGTGATGTGAACATGATAAGTAACATTGGAGAGAGCTGGCCAGCCTTCCTAGCTTAGAATCTTTTCTTTTTTATCAACAGTCAGGTGATGATTGTCTCCCATCTCAATCACTTTGGCATTTTGTCTATTGAAGCAAAGTGCCTGAAAAAATATTCTAATTCAATGACTTAGACAAGAGAAAGAGAGGGAAGAAAAGAAAAAGGGTAAGAGAAAAAGAGAGAAGATAGAACTGAAAAGAGGGAGTGTAATTTGAAAAATCAAACAAACTTTCTTTGGAAGTATTATCCTCGAGCCCTCAAAAGATATACCAGGTTCTTCCCACTATCTCATCCCTGTCCCCATAAAGAAGTGGAAATCGAGGTTGATAGATCAAAAGTGAGATTATGTTTGTCTTCTTATATGTACATGTCAGTCTAATTAACTCCCATTTCTTTCTCATTGTTTTCAACTCAGAATTTGACTCTCCCAGCCATACATGATCATAATTATAAGTAATTGTACAGATTATAGACCAAACCAATATGATTTTCTTATATTACGAATATGATTATAGTATTATTATCTCTCCTAAATCATTGAAAATCCATTTTATATGTATATCCGTTATTCTTCCTATAAGTACATAATTTCGAATATAAGATCTCTCTTCTGGACCAAAAGTAGAAAGTTGCATGTATGAAGCTAAATTCAATCAGGTTTTACAGCTAAATTCAGCTTATTGGTTGTCACTGTCAGTGATTAAATTGTTCATTTGGCCGCCGCATGCATGACCTTTGCTTTTATATTATTATTAATCTTTGTAATGTTTGGCCACATTATATGTATGAGCATGTGACCTGTTTGCACATGTAAACTAATTCCCATGATGAACATCAGATTTGTTCTGGCAGGAAAATAAAATAAAAAAGGCATCACTATCATAATTAATTAGATTTTTGTCATTATAAGGAGACTTGTCAATTGTTTCTCGAGTATGGCTGTGATATTTTGTTCATCTTTCATCATATTTATGTTGAAAAAAGAGAAAGTTACAATGGTAAACTAATTATTAGCAAATTGATAATCCCTTTTTGTCTTTTTACATCTTTAATTACTTTCTAAAAGTTAAAATTAATAAAGACTTATCTGGGTATAAATTTGTAAAAATCGAAATTAAAATACATTTATATTTTTCGTGTTTACGATATAAATATTTTATATAATTTTCTCAATAAGAATGAAATTAAGCTTTTGTTCATGTTTATGGATATATGAAAACTCAATTCAAAATTATACAAAGAAATTGTCATATATATATATATAAATTCAACAAATTCACTAAAGAAAGAGCTGGATTTTGATAGGGATATAAACAGAAGAAAACTTGGCAAAGGTTGACTTGGGAAATTAATGCTTTCCAAATTAAATAAAGGCTAAGAGATGAGGAATCTCGAAGTCAGTTGTTGTTGCCTTTGTCTTTTCTTCATCATCTAAAAAATAGATGGATTTTACTTACAAAATCATAAGTAGTTGTATTGAAATTATTTTTTTTTTAAAAAATAGAAACCAAAAAATAAAATTATTATATTTCTTTGTTGTACTTTGCCATGAACCAGTGAAGAACTACCTTGCAATTCCCCCAGCTCTCCCCCACGTGAAGAAGCTAAGATGAAGTGAGATCCGGTGGCACGTGGAGCTACATCAAGTTTATTTATTTATGATTGATTGATAATACGGAATATTACTAATTTAATTAGCTTAAGTATATTATTTTTTTAAATAAGTCATAGAAATTTTATTTAATTAGCTTAAGTACATTACCGATGGAATGGAAGCCAAGGTAACAAGAGCGTCTATTTAAAAAAAATCGAAAGCATAGAGATTAAAAAATAAAGTATAAAAACAACTGTCGCAAACTAATTAGTCGATCAAATTTTTTCATATTAATTTTGTAAAGAATTATGATAAAAAAACCCAAGATCTTAACAAATGCTTTTTAATTAAGCTTTTCTCTTCTTCAATAAACTTAGGGTATAGTTCCCTTTCAAGATAAAATTTTCAAGTTTCAAATCATAGATGAAAAAATTTATGTTGAAATTGGTTTTCAATGGATGAAATGGTGATTTTGATGAGGATTATTTCAAAAATTTTTATAAGTTTTATATAATTGCTTTATATTAAGACGATCAGACGACAAAATAATTGATTCTATTAATTAAGATAGGTTTTTTAATTTATATATTTATTTTCGCCATATTTACTAAACTTTGTACTATAAACTTTTTTTTGTAGAAAATATTATTCTTTAAAAAAAAAAAGAAAAAACAACAATAACAATACAACAACAGGACAAGACACATGAAATGAAAGAAAGCATAGGAGAAATGAAAGAAAGCATAAGAAAGAAGGAAAATATGGTCTGAGATTCTCATGACTTTCTGCTTTTGGCCGCCAATGAAATGGAAGCTGTCCTCTGTATTGTAAGAGGCAAAATCCAATTCTTCCATAATTATACTAGAAATTTAATTAGGATGACAAAATGAAAGCAAAATTCCTTTTACACCACAAATTCTGCCTCCCTCCTCCCTATCTTTTGTCAATGCAGCAATAGATATACACCATAAATTGCTGTAAAATCATGCTCCTAAAGCAAACTATAGGAACCCTTTTCTTCTTTCTTTGTTCATAACTATATAGGAATTTATGTCTGAGATTTGGTTGATGGAAAAGAGCACGGACCCCACCTCCCATGGGAACTTATTTTATTGATCAAACGGTTAAATTAATCTTTTTTGTTTGTTTATCAAAATCATGTAAGGAAAAGGGTAGAAAACTCTAGTTTACTTCGCTTCCTCACATGCTAGAGTTGACCTTAATCAACATACTCTTGTCTTAGTACGCACTCTATATTCTGTCTCTCTTTATCATTTCCATTAAAATATACTAGCAAAGACTTGGGACAATAAATAAATAACTTAGAAACTACTCTTTCTCTGCCAGAAAATCAACCAAAAAGAAGAAGAAAAGGGTATTGATTTAAGAGCAAAAGAGAGATAGAGATTTTTCTTTTTTATTAAGAAACCATGTCTCCAAAGATGCTCTCTCTCTTGAGAGAGTCTTGAATTACATTGCTGGAAGAGTTAGCTAAATTGAGGTACTGGTGATGATGAGGGAGGCCGACGTTGTTGTGGAGGAGGAAGGATTTGTCGTCTTGGTCTAGCTGTGGGGTTGGTGCCATTGGCTCTTGCTGCACCTGGATGCACAGTATTTCTGCTTGAGCCACGGCCAGCTGCATTTGGAGCTGAGACACCTGGTTCTGTAGGTAAGATATGGCCCCTACGCACCCATAGACCGGGTCCCTGACTCTTGCGTTTGCTTCATACACCAAGCTGCTCACTGCATCCGCCCTCTGCTGAACTGGAAGCTCCTGCTTTCGAACAAAAAACCCAATCTCAATCATTAGTAAACCAAAGAAACCCCATCATCATACACATATAAGGTAGTGATAATGACCAAGTAAACATGAATGGAAGAGGGTAGAGAGGCAGTAAGGAGGGAGGGGAAATGAACCTGCAACATTTTGCTGACATTGCTAGCACCAAAAACCTTGTGAACTATAGCAAACTTGTGGGGATCATCAGAAGGGAAGTAAGGAGCAAAGATGCAGTCCTTGGCACAGCGGCGACGAAGCAATTTGCAGGAAGCACAGGGCGAATTTCCCCCCATACTGGTTTGGAAATCAAAAGAAAAGTTGCTGGTAATTTGATGTAGAAAAGAAAGGGATCAGAAGAGAAGAAAAGCTGAGGAGAGAAAGTGATTTCTACTAGCTAGCTCTAGGAAGGGATGTGAGTCAAGCACAAGCTTAATTTTCAAGACTTGGAGAGAATGAGCTGAGAGGGTATGCATATTTATAATAGCCCAAGAACGCGTGTGCCCATGAACGTGCCATTGATCAACAAGGTTACCTATGTAAAATTTTTTATGATAATAATTCAATACAAATAAATAATCAAATTAATTGGCTTAACTAAATAAGTTAGTTAGTACTTTCACATAATATCTAAGATGCAAGGGAAATCCTTCGACCGGATATGAGAGATTAAGCAATCAAGAAATTACAAAATTAAGTGACCGGCTAAGAAATTGAAGAACAAAATTTTATATAAATTCAAAATTAAATTGATAAAAATGGCTTAAAGGTAATCCTACGGGCTAATTTAGTAATATGGTTGGCATCTCAAGACCTGACAGTATTTCTTCGAACTTTTTCTTTGATTAGGATTAGACTTCCTTTGAGGTTCATATGGGTCCAAAATAGAACCATTGGATGAATAAACTGATTTCAATAAAAATTGAATTTGGACCTATGCACTTTAAGAAAGGGACAAATAAAAGTGTGGAACATTGAGGAAACCAGAGTACCAAAGCTAAAATCCCCAAAAATAAATAAATAAATTTAAAAATATGGTCGAGATTGTGCTAGAGAAAGTTCAATTTTTACTATTTTTTATAGTAAAAGTCATTGATTTGGTGGTGTGTAATATAATATACATTTGTTAATATTCTAGCTTCTTCAGTCCTATAGTTGTTTACTAAATGAAATTAGTGATATATATGATAATATATATATATATATATATATTCAAATTGTTGTCTAATTGACAACCTAATTAGCCTCTATCTTATATCAAGTACTTGCATCAAGATGAGAAGGGAAAAAGGAATAATTATTATAATGTAAAACTTCAATACACAAATTAATTTTATATTTTTTTGGAAAAAAAATTCAAACTTGAATTTTTAAATCTAGAGATCTAATACGAACTATTGAACAGAATGATTTTAAAAATAATAATAATAAATAAAACAAAAATACTTCTCATTTAAAGTTAAAAATTTCTCTTCAAAACAAAGAAATGTAGTAACTATCATTATCATATGCATAGACTCAAGCAAAATATCTATATTTTGCCTCTACAATGTGCCAAAAGGATGATACCAGAGGCAACCTCATCGCCCCCAGAACTGAGTAAGACACAACGGAAACGGTTGACCGCCGCCAAAGCGTGTGATAGTTGGCCCCTATGTGGCTCTATATTATGTGTTCTATAGACCATATAGGGTATTGCCTTCCACGTTCTTCTTTCATTGTCTTCATTTTGCTTCCTTAATATTTTGTTAGAATTATTATTTTCTCAATCAAATAAAGTAATTTTTCTTCTAACAATGAGAAATTTTTTTTAAATTATAAAAATAATGAGAAGTTAAAAAAATTACAAACAAAAACAAGAAACCCCAAAATCAAGCCATTACAAGATAGCATAGAAATTTTTAATATGATAAATTTCAACTTTTGTTAATCCCGATCAAATAAAGTCATTTTATTAATATCACAAGCTTAATATAATATAATTGTTGACATCTCAATAAAATTAAAACATGCATACAATTAGAATTATTAATTTCTCATTCAATTTTTTTTTTTTTGGAAAGGTAAGAATTTTTTTTAGATTATAAGATGAATGAGAAGTTTGAAAATTTACAAATAAAAATAAGAAATCCGGAAATCAAATTATGTAAGATAAAATAAAAATCCCTAATATGATAAATTCCGTATTGATATAATTACTGATATCTTAATAAAATTGAAACACGTATATAATTAAAGAGAAAAGAGTGCAATTATATTAGAATATAAAATTTTATTTATTGGGTGAAGGCTTCAACGTGCGTGCATGGCATTAGGGTTAGGGGATAGGTGTAGGGGTAGGGGGGAGGTTAGGGTTGGAATAAGAGGGAGAAGGGGAAGAAGAGGGAAGAATTGGTTGATTTTGAGGGGTCACACACACAAGACCAAGTTGCAAAACAATGGAAAATTATAAACCTTAAGGCAAGACCCCATGATGAGAGAGAAGGCGAGGTGAGTGGAGGCTCAACGTGAATGTTTGTTAGCCACACAAACATTCACGTGAACACAAAACAAAACCCAAAGCTCCCCTCCCTAGATGTATGTAGTTTGACCCAAAATCAATTAATTTTTAGTTCAACCAACAGTCAACCAAGAGCAAGTGTCTATATATTGTGCTTCACCTTATATTTCGTCATTTAATAGTAATGTAACCTTATCGAATGGCATTTTTAAACTTACTATTCAACTTAAAGTTAGATTATCATAACTTTTTTATTTGTCTTTCACAATTCTATGTCTATGTTCATATAATTTTTCTGTTTCTAAATGTTTCGATTTTGATGTATTTTATGCATATATACAAAAAAAATTATTACAATTAAATAGAATGCATTCAGATAAATAACTAGAATTAATTAATAAATGTTGTTAAACTAAGGGTGCACTTATTTAAAAACATATATTAGATAATTTTCCTTAAACCGTGATTGATATTACACAATGAGACATTAATTTTTCCTTACTCTATAATTTATCTCAAAATACGTATGATCCATCCACAAGGGCAAACAAGCAAGACACATGCACACTTTTTTGCTATGGTAAAAAGTTTCACGACTTTGAACCAATTAACTAGGCTACGATATACATCATTATATATATATATATATATATATATATAGAAAGCAGAATTTTGTAGCATAAATTTAAAAAGACAAATCGAATTCATATTGTTTCTCGATCCTCTTAATCAAGAAATTCCGAGCTCTCGAATCAAAAAAATTCTAAAAAAATGTATAAATTTTTGTCAATTTTCTCCCTATATGTATATATATTTATTAATTTTTTTGGATTTTGGTTTAATTTTTCAATAGATGGTGGCTGGAGAGCAGCCCCGTGAGCTAGTCATCTTCAATCGTTTTCACTTGGATTGGTCGTAGCCTATTTTGATTTTGATATATCCGACGATCCATTTAACAGACAGATTCAATATTTTTGATTAGGTAATATATAGGGCTCGTGGTATGGTTTAGTTTTAGTCTTGACCAAGTCTTTGAGCCTGTGACAAATTGCTTTGCAAAAGTACAAAATGATTAATCCCATCATTAATTGAAGTGGTCATTATCATCATTGGAATATTATTACAGCCCATTGTTTTCTCTAACTTGGAAAGAAAACTGGGATTTAAGTTATACCATAAGATTCAAATTAGTCAGCTAATTAATTGAGCAAGTAGGTATCCCTCTTTATTTTATATATCCGATAATGAATTGGTATGGAGGTAAAGATTATCCACTTCAAGTAGGGTTTTTATCTAAAAAAGAAATAATAAAAAAATCAAATATCTACCGCCGAAAAAAATTTATCCACGTAAGTAAGGTTTTTATCAAAAAAATAATAACAAATTTTATATATTTATTGCCATCGAATTTAAATATTATAGCTAAAATTTTTTGACTTAATTCATTTTCAGAGTCATCCCCAAGCTGAATTTGCCCTTTGCATGTTTAGCTCTTGATAATTAGCTGCCAACTCACACGTGAAAACAATAAATATTTGAGCTAAGTTGGGAAGTAATTAATCCTTTTTCATTTCATAAATTTCATTCTGTTTATTTTAAAATTTAAATTCCGGACATTCAAAATTCGAGCTCGAGACCGCCGAAATGATATTTTAAACTCTAACAGGGTGTCTCCATGAGAACATGTGTGGATGATTAGTTGGTTCATGACATATACTTTCATCAATGGATTGAAAGAATAAGAAACTATTAGATACTCTTTTCTGTGAATAAATCTGATCATCAGCAGAAATTTAATGTAGTGAAGGCAATAGACATCAAACAGATTACACGACCCTACAATGAAATTAATGACATCCTGACATGAAAAATTATTAGATATATAAGGGGGGATTTTGTTTTTCTTTAAAATATGGAAACCTGTTTCGAGGGAGATTAATATTGAAATTTGTAGTAGTTTTTAGGAACCCTAAGTCTTATCAGTACTTTGCATTTAATGGCCCCATCCACATGATTCCAAGCTTCCTTTCCTGTCTTCAAAAACAAAGCACAAGCTCTCTTTTCATTGTGTGTTGGTCTCTCAATGGAATCATGAAAAATCTTTTGCTTTTTTTTTTTAAATAAAAATTAATTATGATGAAGTTGATGAACATTGGTTTAGGTAGGCAGTGAAATTTTTGCCAATTCGGGCACCCCTTTCTTCCTACATATATTTCTAAGTCGAGGTGTGTCACCTCAATGAAACGACTGGCTTGTCCCCTTACCGACAATCCAAGGCCCATCCCACCTCTTCTTTTCCCAACTAAATTCGAAAAATTAAGAACCTTGATCATTTCTCTAATCCATTTCGATTAAGTGGACAAGTGAATATATTTTTCGTATTAGTTCTTTTGATGTTTGAATTAAAATTGGCTTATCGAATTAAGTAAAAATGTTAATTATAAGGTGCTGGTTTGATGACCAAAACCCCATCTGCCACTGGTTTTTACTTGTCGAGTCTGTCCATAGAAACAAAGGTTTTATGGCTGAGTGCTCCCAACCTGGTGCATGGCCTTCTATAATGACAAAATCAACACTGTTGTATTTTTGTCTTTCTTTTCAAAAACCTAAGCTCTAGGGAGCTGAGACCAAGTAAATTAACAAAGGGTAAAGAAACCTTCGTTGTTGTGTTTGGATTCTGCGAAATTTTTTTAAAAAATGATTTGAAGGCAGTAATTTAGGAAGAAAAAAACAGACATCTGCACCACCTTAGAAGGAAAAACATGAGACCCCCAATGCATGTGCATTAAATGAGCTTCGATGGCAATGAATTAGGTTCATTTTCGAGATGCATGGTTCTGTCTGTCATGATACGGTCGTAATTAATGCTTAATTGTTTGTTTTTCCTTTTAACATTGGTAATCTCACTGTTGGAGTTGGGGTATTCTCCAA